TTTATGCTGCCAGTTGCAAAGATAAATAGGGAAGGGTCACTCTTTCTTATGATAAACCCATGTGAAGTAATGAACGACTTCAAGGCATCGTGCCATGCATGTGGCACTCGGCGAAGCCCATAAATGGCCTTATGAAGTTTGCAAACATAGTTCGGATGTTGACTATCTTTAAGATCTGGTGGTTAAGTCATAAAAGCCTCTTCAAAGAGATTGTCGTGTAGAAAGGCATTGTCAACATCCAATTGATGCATCTACCATTTGTTGGTCAAAGCTAATGTGAGGATCACTTTGATTGTTTATGGACGCACCATTGGTGCAAAAGTCTCATGGAAGTCCACACTGGCACATTGAGTGAACCCCTTTACAACAAGACATGCCTTATATTTGTCTATGGGGCCATCAGGTTTTTGTTTTATACGAAAAATCCATTTTCAGCCTACTATATTATGATCTTTTGGTGGTGGTACTAACGACCATGTGCCATTGCGTATGAGTGCATCAAATTCAGCGGAAATGGCTTGCCTCCAATGATCATATTTCATAGCCTCTCTTACATTAGATTGTTCAAGATTCTCATGGAGTGGGTGTTTTGAGACACTGAAGGCTTTTTTTGGTTTGTGAATGTTGTTCTTTGAGCGAGTGACCATATGATATTAATTTTAAGAAGTAGAATACTTAGATTGATTGTCAATAGGAGGTGAATAAATATTTGAAGGAAGAGGGGGTAGAGAAGGATTACCTAGTGGAGGAGCAGAAGCCATTAGTGCCTCTTGACACGGTTGATTAGAATGTGCAGTGGTTGCAGGGCCATAGGTTGGTCTATGTTCAGGTGTATGCTGAATTTTAAGGACTGGTATAGGTGTGATTGTTTATTGGGTGTCATTGGGTTGAAGAGTGCGTGTGAGGGTAGAGTATGGAAAATGATTGTCATGAAAGGGAGCATGACAAGATACATATAGACGATTGGTGGTTGGGTCAAGACAGTATAGTAAGAATATTAAGAGGGTGAATAGCCAACAAATAGGCACGACTTGGATTGAGGTTGGAGTTTGTTTGTTGTATACGGACGTAGCCAAGGAAAGCATAAACAACTAAAAGAGTGGAAATGTAGTGGATTGGTCTTTGTTTGGTGCAATGTTTGATGTGGGGATTTCATTTGGAGAATTGGGGTTGGTAGTCTATTTATGAGGTAGGTGGTAGTGGTGAAGGCATATGACCAGTATTATGGTGGCAATTTTGCATGGTGTAATAAAGCACATCCTGTTTCAACAATATGTAGGTGACGTTGTTCAGCTGTTGCATTAAGTTCTAGGGTGTGAGGTGGGGTGGTGAAATGTGAGATGCCATGTTGACTTAAGTAATGTTTAAGTTTGAGAAATTCACCCCTCTTATCAGAATAAGTAGATACAAGCGATGTATTGAAATATTTTTCAACCAAATTTTTGAATTGAGGAAATATTATTGAAACATCTGACTTATTTTTTAAGGGAAATAACCAAATATATTTATAAAAATGATCAACAAAAATAAGATAGTATAAAAACCATCTAAAGACCTAATAGGAGCTAGACCCCAAACATCAGTGTAAACAAGATCCAATGGTTTCTTGTTATGTGTCGCAACCCGAAAATTTCCGATTTTGCGACCTATGAATTAGACATCCGTTTGAAAATCTCATCAACTAAGAAATGTCTGGAGACCAGACTAATCCCTAATTAATGGTTTTGAAAATAGGTTTATGGAGTCGCCACCAATGTTTTACTCAAAACATTGGAAAAAGAAAAGGTTTTTCAAAGTCCAATAATGGCCTTGATAACCAGAACTTGGTTCAGGGGTTGGTTACGTGTAAGGAAGGTATTAAGCACCCCTACAACGCCCTTAATCAGTACCCTTATGGTGAAGTTAGCATAATAAGAATTAATAAGTTAAATATTTAATCTCCTTTATTAATGGTTATTTACATGCTTGAAATTTAAATTATACGATTGATCCTAAAATATCTACATGGTTGCTTTTATTATAAAGATATTTAAAATGAGGGAATAGAGAAAATAGAAGAAAATTGACTGAAATACCTCTTAAACGATCTTTACTGAATCTTCAAATATGGGGATTTATTAGGATCTTTTTGGCAATCTTTCACACTAAAATATGCCTCACAAAAATCTCAAGAAATACAAGAGGGAGGATAGAAAGTGAATTTTTGAGCTATATGGAGTTCTCAATGATATTTTCCCAGCCTCAAGAACATTGTTTGAGTCTGCTATTTATAGACATAAAAAATGGCCAGAATGACCCGTTTTGGACCCCTTCGTTATGCGTCAATTTGGCATCTAGAATGATCCGTTCTTAAAGCAGAACGACCCGTTCTAGAGTTGAGCTTTAACTCATAACTTCCATTTTGGAATGGTCCGTTCCAAACTAGAGTTTTAAGCCTTTTTGGGAGTTTGGAATGGTCCGTTCCAGTTTAAGAACGACCTGTTTCACTTTGGGAACGGGTCGTTCCATCTTGTGAACAACCCGTGCCAGTTTGGGAATGGGCCGTTCCAGATTAGGAATAGCCCGTTCTGGGCTACTAAATTAGTCTTTTGTTGGGCTTTAGGCCTTCTGATGTCATGTCCTGTTGTTTCCATGCTTGGGATCTCCTTTTCTTTAATAATGAAAGTCATTTCCTTGTTTGTTTGCCCCGGACGAAATTAGGTGCCTACACTGTGCAAACTCGAACTCAAGAAAAAAATCTTGTAGCTTTTGGATATGCTACATGAGACACATGAGATAGTAGGTCGTGCTTTTATTTTATGCAGAGGGATCAAATGATAGAAAATGTGTTCAGATGGATGACCAAGGATGTGTGCCATGGAGAATGAGATGAAGAGGTAGAGAAGAGGGTTGTTGGTTTGATGGTGGATGATGGTATGTGATAGAGTCCATAATTATGAAGTCCTTTGAGGAGAGGCACCCTTGTCTTTCGATCCTTCACCAAAACATGGTCAAAAAAAAAAAAATTCAACCAACACATGATTAGTTTTGCACAGGGATGAAACAGATAACAATTTTTGTGCAATGAAGAGAACATGTAAAATTGTTTGTAATTGAAGTGGGGTGTGAGGTGGTGTGTAAAATAGTGGTGCCAGTGTGGGTTATAGGAAGAGCATTACCGTCACCAACAATGACTTGATCTTTTCCAAGGTAAGAATTGGTGAGATGTATGGTTGTCTAGGTCGTTAGTGATGTGATGCATCACACCAGAATCTAGGATACAATTATTTGGTACGTTTTGCAGCACGGTGCGAGCATGATGTGCAACAGGTTCATATTATTGTGTTTTGGATAGCCATATAACTTATAACATACCTTAGCTGTGTGACCAGGTTTTTCATAGTATATATTGACAAAAAATCTTGCAAGAAGAGTCAGGTGAAGTGGATTGATAGTTGTTGAAAGATGAGCCATGTTTCCGAGGAGACAACTTTTTGTTATAGATATGCTTGCCCTTTTGTGTAGCATGTGCAGTGGCCATCGGTTGTATAAATCATTAGTATTGTCATCCCTTTTGTGATAACTTTCAACATCAAAGAGAAGATCATGCAATTCCTCAAATCTAATAGGATTTTCCCTTGTGCGAATGGCAATAGAAACCTCTTTATATTCATCACCCAAACCATTGATGGTATGGCTAACAAGATCAACATCATCCAAAGGATAGTTGATGATGGCTAATTCATCAGCCAAGGATTTAATTCCATGAAGATACTATCATGGACCAAGAGCCCTTCGTGTACTGAGTTAAACGTTCCTTCAAGTGCATGATTCGAGCATGTTTCTTGTTGGCATATCTCTTGTTAAGGATATCCCATGCCTGTTTGGATGTCTTCACGGTTCTAAGCAATGTGATGACATTCTGATCAACTAAGGAGATGATTGCATGAAGAATCAATTGATCCTAATGCCTCTAGTATGTGAAATCACGATGATTGGATGTTGGACACGTAAGTTGTCCATCAACGAAGCCAATAAGATCATACCCTACAAGAAGGGCAATGAGTTGTACTTTCCATGCAGGATAGTTCATGCCATTAAGCTTGGCAGTTTCATGGTTATTTGCCATTAAGCTTGGCAGTTGCATGGTTATTGAGAACTACAACAGATTGGGAATCTAATATTGGAATGGTGTTGTTGGATGAAGACATAGTTGATCAATTTTTCATCTTAGAATAGTAAATTTGAGCCCAATTCAACTCTACAAAACTAACTTGTAAGGTTAGGATTACCTCCACTTATATATTCTTTAATGTCCTTATCTCTAGTTGATATGAGACTTGAATTTTTCTCAATACACCCCCTCACCTCCAGCACTATTAGATTTGGTACGTGAATAAATGATGGATGACCCTTTTTTAATGATTTAAGATAAATAGTTTTTTACCATATAAGGGTTTGGAATAAATAATGTTGATGTGTTTTATTGAATGAGAAGCAATCCTATATATAAAAGGGTTTGGTATAACTGAATAAAAATAGAAAGATAATAACAACAATAATTTAAATATTTGAATCAATGATAATATGGGACATCAGAATTTGATTGTTATTTTATCTAATATCTTTTGTCTACGTACTAGGTGATTGAAATTTATAGTGTGATCCCGTCCTTGTTTCCCTCCATTATTGCTTTGCCAGTAGCTGAATTGATTCATATTTCTTTCTCAAAACCAATCACACACATTTTTTTGTACAAAGTCGCATTCAGGATAATAGATTTGACTCAATTTTGTAAGATAATAATTGTTCTTTGGTTATATAGTCTTTAAAAACCTTATTTCTACTCGATATCCAATAAACCATGCGATGCAACGACCCATGATAGCAATCGATTTTTGTTTGAAGTCTTTGTTCTTTCTTTTAATGGATAATATTATACTCGGAGGTTGAAATTTATAGTGTGGCCCCGTCCTTGTTTCCCTCCATTATTGCTTTGTCAATAGTTAAAGGGATCCATATTTCTCTCTCAAAACCAATCACACACATGATTTTGTACAAGGTCGCATTTGCCACTTCTAAAACTGCACGAGAAGAAACTTCAGCATGATTTCTAACCTGTGTTGCCATTTTCTCATTATTCTTCTACTTGGTCTTGCAATTTTCGTTCGGGTCGGAACTTCTCGCTCCAAGGTGGAAGTGCTTCCCGGCTTTGAAGGACCTCTTCCTTTCGAACTGGAAACTGGGTAAGCAACACCACTCCCCTGGTTTAGTTTCAAGATTTTGAATTTTAATTTAGTCAACTTAAAGGGCTGTTACTCTTCACACTTTGGACACTCTGGTTGTGTTGTGTGCATTTTTTGACAGTTATGTGGGATTGGGAGGAAAAGATGATGACATGCAAGTCTTTTATTACTTTATTAAGTCAGAGAGCGATCCTCAGAAAGACCCTCTTATGCTTTGGTTGTCAGGGGGTCCTGGTTGCTCTTCATTAACGGGTCTTCTCTTTCAAATAGGTAACTTGAGATTTAAACTTTGTTTAATTCCTGCAATAACAAGCAATACATTTGGTTTTTTTTGCCATTTTGGTTTTCAACTTTGAAATATTTCATGAATTTTCTTTTTATTATCCTTCCATTTGACTAACTGTTTCGCTTCTAAAGACAGCACATTAATAAACAATTGGTTTAGTGTTCAGAGTTAGAGTACTTTACACAGATTCTGAAATTTGAAGTTTTGTAATTCCTTTAGACAAAGAAAAAAAACACATTAATTGAGAAAAGTAATTAATATCTTTGTTTATGTTGAAAACAATATCTTTGTTTATGTTAAATAATTTAATTTCCTAGTATGACCTCCGTTATCATTTCTCTCTCTTATGAAATGGAAAATATTTAAAAATTGGATAGAGATAAAGGCATAACTAAATATAGTAATCATTTGAACTTTTGAACAATTTTTTTTACAGAAATAAATAAATAAAAAGGTACAGTGGTTGTATTGTTCAAAAGAAGCTGAACCAAATATGCTCCTACTCCGACCCTTGTCATATACCAAGTCATAATCAGTGATGGACCCAACAAGTTTAAAAATTAAATTGTTCAGATAAAGGAGTACAAACTGGTTTAAACTGATTTATTCTAAAATTCTCGAGCAACTTGTCAACATATTTTCTCTAGTATTGAGATATTGCCCCAACAATTCTGTTTCTGATGATTTCCAATACGTTATAACATTTGTCCTACACCAAAATCTTTTAACACAAACTCGCCGACATATAACATAAGATTAATAAATAAACAGTCTGAGAGCTTCTTATGATACACACAACACCTAACATGATGGCTTTGTCAGCACAAGTATTTCCCATGAGAATTGAGAACCTTAGCTCCATCTATTTTCTAAAATGTGGTTAATCAGTTGTGTACAAGTGATAGGAACATTCTGGTCAGTGGCCTGTGGCCACTCAACAATTTTGATACTCAAAAGAATTGTTTAACTCTAGAGCCATTCAATTGGTTCAGCTCTATCTACCATACTATTATGTATCGAGTTGGTACATAGGAGTCACATTTTTCGCTGCTGATAACTTTGGCATATGTGAATTCAGGCTACAAATTTATTATTTTTAATTATAGATGTGGCAGTATCTGTATTTTAAGTCAATTTATTATTATTTTTTTATCTAATTGAAATACCATAATATAGCCAGTTTGGCATATAGATTTTCATCAGACAGAAATCATTCTGCTGCAAAATATTGACACCACTGTTGTGTTTTCACTATTTTCCCATGTTTGTTTTACTTTTTCACTACAATTGAGTTGATCCTACAAAAAGTGATTCAGTTAATAACTTTCCCAGACTGAATGACTTTTGTCATCAATTGAGTGTAAATAGGTCCACTTGCACTCGACACTGAGTCATATGATGGGAGCTTGCCAAATTTGATCTTGAGGCCACAGTCCTGGACTAAGGTATAGGTTACAGAATGCATCCTCATGAAGTTGACATTGATTTTGTTTGTTAAAGTTAACACAAAAATTTATATAAATAATTATTAAGCACGGGATTGTAATGTGTTGAGACAACTGTATACAGAGTAATACTTGTAATTGTTACATGATTTTGTTTAATATTTTGTTTCTGGAGGATGATGTGGTGCCACTAATGTAAACGTTTTGTTTTGTAAGGTATGTAGCATTATTTTTGTAGATTTGCCTTTTGGAAGTGGCTTCTCGTATGCAAAAAATCTCACTGCTCAACGGAGTGACTGGAAATTAGTTCACCATACCCATCAATTTCTTAGGAGGGTACAGTCATTGTCCTCATATTTCGTGCATAGTCGTTCTTTTTCTCCTTTGTTTATAGCTTACTTTAGGAGAATCAATCTTCTAACCATTCTGAAAACAAGCTATATAATTTTGATCATTTTATTAGTAAGCTTTAATTTTTATATGATAATCTCTGCAGTGGCTGATTGATCACCCGGAATTTCTTTTAAATGAATTTTACATGGGAGGTGATTCATATTCTGGCATACCTGTCCCTGGTATTGTTCAAGAAATTTCAAATGGTAAGATATTTTAAAAGGCTTAATTGATAATATGAATCGGTTATTCAATTAATAGCTTATGTCTTTACAACTCATTATAACAATGTACCAGAAAATGTTTCATAATCATTTTTTAACTAATATTCTCACACGAATACACTAATTATTTGGATTCTTGTTCGGTATGTGGAAGCTTGTTCGGTGTGTGGAAGTTAGCAAAACAGAAATTCCAAGTCAAGAGAGGACGTGTTAATTTAATTTTTTTACTCACTATACTCAAATGAATTATTTAATTAGTCCCTTATATTCGTTTCTGACTTGTTCTGTCACTTTTGAAACTCGCTATAAAGAAAAATGAAATAAATAAAAAATATTTTACACTCTAGTTCATACCACCTAGCATTGCAAAATTTGAATCTTTTAAAAAATAATTCATGAGTACAATATAGGTAAAATTACACTGATTACTTGTTGTACATGAGAAAAACATACACATGCACCAAAGGATCTAGAAAATTTCTTAAGTAGGGGTAATATAATATTTTATAATTGTCGTAACCCGAAAATTTCTGATCTTGCAATCTATAGTCTAGACATCCTTTTGAAAAATCTCATTAATTAAGGAATGCTCGGAGATGAGACTAATCTTTAATTAATGATTTTGAAAATATGTTTTTGGAGTCACCACCAATGTTTTACTCAAAACATTAGAAAAAGAAAAGGTTTTTCAAAAGTCCAATAATGACCTTGATAACCAGAATTGGGTTCGGGGGTCTGTTACGTGTGGAAAGTATTAAACACCCCTACAATGCCCTTAATCGGTACCCTATGATGAAGTTAACATAAGAAGAATTAATGAGTTAAATATTTGATCCCCTTTATTAATGGTTATTTACATGCTTGAAATTTAAATTATACAATTGACCCTAAAATGTCTACATGATTGCTTTTATTATAACAATGTCTATTAAAGATGAGAAATAAAAGAGAGAGAAGAAGATTGATTGAAATACCTTGTAGCAAGCTTTGTTAGATCATCAAATATGGAAGTTTTACGTGCTTTGTGACAACCTTTCACACTACACAAATGCCTCGCAGATCTTAAGAAATACAAAAAAAGAGAGAGAAAGAGAGAGAAATTTTGAGCTCAAAGGAGTCTTATACGAAATTTTTAAGCCATGAATACAATGTCTGAGTCTACTATTTATAAACATAAAAAATGGCCAGAACAACCCGTTCCGAATTCGAAACGACCCATTCTGGATTGGAATTTCACTCGTGACAAACTGTGTTGGAACGATCCGTTCCAAACTAGGGTTTTAAGCCTTTTTAGGAACTTGGAATGACCCATTCTAATTTAGGAACGGCCCGTTCCATATTGGGAACGGGTTGTTCCGGTTTTGGAACAGCCCATTCTGAGCTACTAAAACCAGTTTGTTTGGGCTTTAGCCCTTCTGATGTCATGTCCTGTTGTTTCTATACTTGGGAGTTCCTTTTCTTTGATAATAGAAGTTCATTTCCTTGTTTGTATGTTCCTAGACGAAATTGAGTGTCTATAATAATACTTTTTGATTAAAAATATAATAATGTTTTAGATAAATATATTTTTGTGATAAAAAATTTAATACACCTATTTTTTTATAAATTAAAATTTTCTCATAAATAGAGGAATAATTTATTTTTTGTGTCTGATATTATATTTATCACACTTTTTAATTTTTAGTGATTTATTTAATATTAGACGACAAAATAGTATAAATTATTAAGATAAAGATAATATAATTACTATTTATTTTCTTTTGTATCTCTTCTAAATTTCTATATTCATTTAAAACAAAAATATTTTATGATAACATATTTTTTTATAAGAGTAAAATTATTTTTTATTAAATATGTTTAAGTAAAAAAAAATAAAACTTTGTGTGACAATTACTCTTATTCCTCTTAATTTGGATCATCTCCTACCAACACACAATGTACATATACAATACCAAAATTAATGGTTAAAAAATAAAATAAAAATTGAAAAATAACCTATATTTGTAAACTAAATTATGACATCTTTAATGAATAAAGAAGTAGTAAATCTTTCAGACAAAAAATAAATTATATTATAATAAAAAAAATTATGATAATTTTATCATAAAGTGAAAGAAATTACACAATAGAATAAAATATAAATGAAATATTAATATATTTTAACATATAAAATATAAAAAAAAATGATTATAAGAAATATTACATATAGTTACATACAAAAAATGTCATTAGTATAGATTTACATTTTTTTAACAATATATCAACATATATTATATCTATAATATTTGTAAAGATAGTTTTTAGTGGCAAGTATTATATCTCTATAAGATGTGTGTTATTACTTAAATTTTTTTTAATAAATTAAAATATAATTTATATATATATATTATAATAATAATAGTAATAATAATAATATATAAAAAAATAGAAAAAAGTAAAAACTCTCGTACAAATGGATCCGTCCCTGTGCGCATGCATAGCTATATTTTGCTTAACATGCACCAGATAAACCTAACCGTTATTCTTGAATTTCCTTGATTAACAGGAAATGAAATAGGTCTGCAACCACAGATAAATCTCCAGGTTTGCAATTAATTTACCTGTCTATGCTTTTACTACACACAAAATATAATTTTGGATAGAAGGTTTGATACTGGAATCCAATTTTTAAAACGCCAAAACATTCAACCAAGCTTTTCAAAATTCACCTTTTCAAGGTTGTAATGTAATCAATTCCTCTTATGAACAATGAAGCCTACATTGATCTAACGTTATTTCCAGGGATATCTGTTAGGGAACCCAAAAACAACAGGAAAAGAAAATAATCATCAAATCTCATTTGCTCATGGAATGGGACTTATTTCTGATGAACTCTATGCGGTAAAAGTAGTACTTTTTTCCAGTTTAATAAAGCTATTTATTTTGTATTTTCTACTAAAGTTGGTAAAGACTGCTTATATGTTTGTATTTAAATTTTGCATGAAAATATTTGAGTATCCTTGTTCACTAAAAGAATGTTAAAATGAAATGCCAATGATTCTTAGTCATCTACTGTCTTTGGACAGTCACTGCAGAGAAATTGTAAAGGAGAGTATATCGATATTGATTCCAGAAACGAATTGTGTTTAAGAGATATGAACTACTTTGAAGAGGCAAGTAATGAACATCCCTTTTTTCTTATGATAATCCTTTCTACCCTTTCTATTCAGATCAGTTCGGTTTATTGAGCATATTAGTAAACTGTTATTTCTTATCTTCAGTGCCTTTCAGAAATTGATATGTGGTACATTTTGGGACACTGCTGCAAAGTTGATTTGCCTAAGAAACATGAAGCTCCGTGGAGGAGATATCTGTATCAAAAGTTTGAGGCCTCTCTTAATTCTTATTATACGAGAGAGCCAAACTTATGCTGCAATGTAACTTTTGCATATCTTGTATAGACTCTTTCACACATATTTTGTCCACAATGTTCCAAATTTGATTTTCTCCATTTTACGTTATTGTAGATTTTTAGTGACTTCATTTCCGCTCAATGGGCCAATGATGAGAGTGTTCGCAAGTCGCTGCATACTCGAGAGGTTTGGTAGAATATATACTTAATTATGTTTAGCGGATTGGTAATGCAACACCACAATTAGCAACAAATACTTAATTCTATGTTCAGTTCTAAATGGGTTGAAATTTGAGTCAGACACATTGATAAAAGTAGCCTTAAGAGTTAATGGATATCATGCACATATTAATGTACATACCTTAATATATTGCAGGGAACTATAGGAAAATGGAAACGCTGTAACCAAACTGATTTTGAGTACCAGATCTCTAGTAGCTTCGACATTCATGTAAATCTTAGTGCAAAAGGATACCGTTCATTAATATACAGGTGAAGATTTTCACATCGAACTTAAATTTTAGTTTTCTGAAAACTGTTGCTTTTTTTCTTTTAGCTATCTCGTGACTATCAGGAGCCAGCTGATTTCACAAGGCAAACGGTATTTTGTTGTTGACAGCGGAGATCATGATGCAGTTGTTCCTTTCATATCGACCCAAGCGTGGATTAGGGCTCTAAACTACTCCATTGTGGAAGATTGGAGGCCATGGCTTATAGAAGGACAAGTTGCAGGGTAGGCATTAAACTTTAGCCTTTTTATGATAATTGTTTACTTTTTTTCCATTCAAAACTGCATAGCAGATCATGCATCAGAATCAGACCTTTACTCGTACACTTGCATGTGTTGGTCCAAGTGGGAAAATCGTGGGTCCCCTGAAGCATATGGGACCATGAGTTTGACCCAAAATTTATCTGCATTGAGAAAATACCGAATGATCTTATATTGGTATATAGTGTACGGGACATCATTAATGCTAGAAAAGGAGATGCACCTTCGTCAATCCCATTTTACCTAATTATATAAAATTTCTATATTATTCCTAATTGTCAGCCCAACCCATATAATAGAAGACGAAATTGTTGGGTTAATTAATTAAGATATTGTGCTCCATTTATTTAAATAATTGTAATTAATATCTTATTATATCTTTTAGATATTTATTTGTATTTTTTGAATATTTATACTTTATTTATGTATATATCTATTGTACCGAAAATATTTGAAATAAGAAAATCTGATTTTATTTTATTTTATTCTCTATATGATATCAGATTAGCCTATATCTTTACGGTCACTTCTTGATTCACCCATGGCTTCCCTAACTACTGTGCTTGTAGAATTCACCACTACATACATCATTAATAAACTCAGTTCTAACGATCATCGCACTTGACATACTCAAATAACTCATTTTTTACAAGCCCATGATCTTTATAGTACATCATTAGCAACAGACCCTGTCCCAATCCAACTATTGGTGAGGAGATGCGGTCATTGTCAACCCTGCCTACACCATTGGAAACATCAAGTTCACTATGTGTTTCTCACTCCTATGGCCTTGATGCACAACTTGTCATGACCTTGATCACTTCTTCTATCGCTGCACGGGTGAGGTTAAACAAACACTATGTGAATAGGTCTTGTACTCATGTAATGTCTCTAAAAGAACGCTTTTCATCTATCACCAAAGGCACCTCCCGTGTCAATAATTATTTGCGTTCAATACTATTGATAGAGGATGAATTTACTTTTATTGGTCATCCTGTTGATGACCTTGATCTTGTCATTATCGCTCTCAAAGGTCTTGGACCATCTTTTTGCGAATTCATAGCCTTAATTTGCACTAGAGACACTCCTTTATTGTTTGATGAACTTTTTGACAAATTAGTAGATTTTAAAATTTTCATGCAACAGGATGAACGTCAACTACAATCTTTTCCTGTCAATGCCAATTACACAAATATCTCTCAACGGTCAAATTGTAGCAAACAATATTTTTCATCAAATTGTATTAGCTCCTTGGTCGAAGCCGTATCCGGACAAATAAAATAATTAAAATGTTGTACTAGGAAGTGACTCCTAGGTCGTCTCCCAAGGACCACTTCTTTCTGTCAAAGGATCAAACACGTAGTGGGGGAGGGATTTTGAGTAGATTATCGAAATTAAATAAAACACAGAGTAGATATGAATTAATTGCAGTAATTAAAATAGGTCAGACCCTTGAACATAATGCACCTCTAATATCCTCGGTTCACAACAGATAATTTGTCCACACTTAATCACGTTCAGTCCAGATTAACCAACTAAGCGAAGATTAACCTGAGACCTCACTACACGAATTAAGCAAACGTGAACCTTGTCAGACCTCCTTCCTCAGGATTAAGAAACCTGAGATACTGAACTCAAACAACCCAGAATCATTAAGCAACATGAATCAGATGTTGAACGCCTCAGAACAGAGACCTCACAAGGAAGAATATCAAGCGGAGCATAAATGCAACACATAGAGAGAACCTCCATCAGAGGGTTACAATCTGCCCAAGGGCCCAACCCTGGGGTTCTAGCCTTCCATAAAATCAAAACGCAACAACAGAGACATAATGCTAAACATCAAAACAAAAAATGGAGAACGAAAAATGAATATGAATGGTAATCAACTCATAATAGAAAAACGAACATGCACAACAATAACAAGAACGTAAATTAAAATAGAGGAATGAAGATGAAACGAAACTGTATAGATAAATAAGGTTTACTCAGTCTGATTCTGTCTCACAAGGAAGAAGAAGAAAAACCAAGGAAAAACTAGCTGAAACACAAAACAAAATTAAAATGGAGGCTGCCCCCTTGCATGGCAGCAATCCCTAGGTTAAGTCTGACCTAGAATGACTAATGGGCCCCCAACAATACAAGTCTGACCCAAACTACAATAAAATAGATTAAAAACTGAAAATAAATGCTGAGGTGGAAAATGGTGCAGCGGTGACATGGCAGATGACGTGGCAGCTCCTCTTGAAGTCCAAAAATTAATTCCAAGCCCAACTAATTATTAAACTGCCCTGAAAATAAAATTTGGAATAATTAGATTCAGAAAATTCAAATTAGTTAAAATATGAATTACTGGTCCAATTAAAGCCCAAATAGAAAACAGTGCAGAATATCAACAATTAAGCACAAATCAGAGATTAAAATAAGTACAGAAAGGTAAGAAAATAAGGGAAAATAATAACTCATCACTCCTCTTCTAGAGATAATAGTCAAGGCTCTAAATGCCAAATTTCTATCTATTAATATTGTGATCACAAAGGCTATACTACGAAAACATGATATCGATTACATGGTTTTCCAACTGATCATCCTCGCTATCAGGCCAATCTTAGTCAATATGAGGCCCATTCTAACACCTCTTAGCTTCTGGACTATGGAGCATCTCACCATGTGACCAATGACATAAGTCATCTCTCCATCTCCAATGATTACACTAACTAGATCAACTTCATATTGCCAATGGTAAAGGTATTTCCATTACACAACTCAACTGATCTACCCCACCCCTGCCATTCCCCTTCATCTTTCTAATACCTTACATGTTCCCTTTGTCACCAAAAATCTAATTTTAGTTTCTCAATTATGAAAAACTAACTTTGTATCTGTTGAATTTTTCCCTTGACATTTTGAGGTAAAAATCCTGAAAATGGGAGTGATTCTTCTCCAAGGAAAAACTAAAGATCAAGCATACAAGTTGCAATCATTTCCTACACTTTACAATGTCCATATCCCTCAATAAAGATGTGGCACTACCATCTTGGTCATCCTCACCTTTAAGTCCTCAAGCATATTCTTCCTTCCAACTATGCCTCAATGTCTCTCACATGTCTAGACTGTTTATCCAATAAAAGTCATTAACTTCCTTTTTTCAAGTCCACCTTATCCAATAATAAACCTCTTGAAATTATTTTCCTTGATGTATGGGGTCTTTTCTCAATTGAATCAATAAATGGAGCTTTTTATTACGTTTTTTTTATTGATCATTTCTTTGAATATGTATGGCTATATCCAATAAAGTTAAAATATAATATTTCATTAATTTTTTCTACCTTTAAATCCCTTGTTAAAAACCAATTTGAAAGCAAAATCAAAACACTATATAATGAGGAGAATTCATTAAACTAAAACCTTTCCTTCAAAAACATGACATTTATTACTTTACCATCCCACCATACACTCCCCAACATAACGGCTTATCCAAACACAAATATTGTCACCTTGTTGAAACTACCTGTACACTCCTTCACCATGCATTATTATCGATAACTTTTTGCTCCTATATTTTACACACTGCCACTTACCTAATAATAAACTTCAATCAAAATATCAACCTTGTATCTTTATTGGATATATCAATACACAAAGTGTCTATCTTTGTTTTTATCCACCCTTACAAAAGACCTATACATCCCGTCATGTTCAGTTTGTAGAAAACATGCTTCTTTACTGCACTGAAAATGTCCCTGCCAACTCAAATTTTCCTATATCAAATTCAAATTCTATTACTCTTACCCGAAATCTACACCAATCATCGTCACCTAATCTTCCATTGAATCATCAAATCTCACCTATCTATATAACCCTTCCACCATCACATAATTAAATCACACTTATCGCAATAATCCCTCCGCTAATAAATAATCAAATCCCACCTATCCTAGTAAGCTCTCCACAAATAAATAATCAAATCCCACCTATCCCAATAATCCATCCACCTTTAAATCATCAAATCCCACATATTCCAATAATCCCTCCACCATTAAATAATCAAATCCCACCATCACCTAATCCTCAAACCAATCCTTTGAATTCAAATCAAATACCATCATCCCCAACTAGCATACAAACTAAACATCCAATTCAAATTCTTCACTCCAATTGCCACATATTTTCAACGAGTCTCAAGATTGCAACTTGAACATTTCCTCTTCCAACACTATTTCCTTGTTGAAGAACCATAACCACAATCCACCCACCTCGTTGTCACATGCTCTAAAAATGGAATCTTTAAACCAAAACACCACTTCAACAACATTGGCAACAAATGGGTATATTGTATCAAGCGTAACATGGATGACACATTTAGCTCAATCATCAAGCTGCAAACAATAAAGTTGGTCTTTTGTGTGGCTTTCGCAAAACGCTGGCACTTGAGCCAAATGGATGTCAACAACGTTTTCCCCAAGTTACCATTGAGGAGAACATATAAATGTGTCAACCTCCTGGTTTCATCTACCCTCAATTCCCTGATCATGTCTACAAGCCTTGCAAATGCTCTATGGCCTCAAGCAAGCTCCTCAGGCTTGGTTTTGTGCACTAAAACAATTTTTGTTGAGTGTTGACTTCACAAATTCAAAGTCTGACAAGTCATTATTCATTTACAATAGTGGTTAGGTCACTTTCTAGGATGGAGACAACTTATCTAACATGAAATCAACTACAACCTCCATCATCTACCTTGGTCCTAATGTTACCTATTGGTCTTGTAAAAAGCACAAAACAATTGTTAAATCATCCACAAAGGTAGAGACAATATTGTATCATTGGATCAATTACAGTTCAAATTCTCTAGATTAAGGAGTTGTTCTAGGAACTTCAACTTCCTATTGTTGGTGAGTCACTCATCTATTCTAACAATATTAAAGTAACATTTCTTTGTGCCAACTCGATGTTCCACTCTTGTA